TCTCAGACATCCAATCTCAGGTGAAGGAGAAATATTGGGATAGCAGTACGTCCCTCTCATTTCACCTTCTTCTGAGAGAGGGAGGGAAGTAAATGAGGGAAAAGTGAGAAGTGACAGAAATAGAGGAGGGAAGGAACAGAAAGGTGAAGGAGACAGGCATGTGAGAAGCATTAGCAGATTACTGCACAGAGCATGATGGGACATGAACAGTTGCAAGTTGGGCCAGATCCTGGTGTTTTGCACCCTATGGGACAGGATATTATTGAATATGATAGAGCCTTATGCAACCCTTTGATGTTGCAAAGGGGAATACAGAGGGAGAAGTGCCAAACCAGTGTACAAGGTGTATAAATATACTCTTCTTCTTTTCTGACACTTGTTCAAAATCCACGTCCTTTTCTGTGAGCCAAGCCAGAGCTAGAGGTGAAACACTATTCTGCAAGATGAGCCGCGAGGATCAAATCACATCATTTCAAAAAAGCCGTCGTCTTTTTGTGCCTAGTCCTAAATTCTTATGAGAACAGAAAATGTACAATAGACGAGCGCTGAATTCAAAATCATATCGGTCTAGACATTGGCAGTCCAGTAATCTGCCAAATGTGAGGGCGAAAAAACGTGATGAGTGACAGTAATAGGATTAAGGACTAAGGAAGCTCAAGAAAGTAATCAGTGACAGACCTTAAGTGATGCATGTCACCTGGAAACGGCACAGCAGGGAGCTGGGTGTCGCACAGTTGGAGCCAGAATGAAACAAAGCAGTATAATTCCCTTTAAGGAGAGCTGGTATTAAAAGCTTGTCTTCCCAAATAATGAACTGAATGCTAAAAGGCTTCCTGGTTTAACGTATTAGGCAGTCATTCAAAGTAAAATCTATCAACAGCTTTAGTGAGTTTCCATTTTAATGTCCCAATGCTGATCCTGCAAGTTTTGTTTTTTAAATAAAGGGAAATGCTTTGGGGCAGGAACATATTGGCCAGAAGGCAGGAAGAGCTCTCCATCTTGTCTCTATCTGATAAAGTCCAAGGCAAAACAAACTGAACAGACAAAGGTCTGGAACAATTAGGCAGGCAATCAATACACACCCTGAGGCTTGATTGACATTTTAAAGATGTCACGTCATGATTCACCACTCTCTCTCTCTTTCTCCTTCTGTCTCTCTGTCTGCTTCCAGGTAGACGGCTTCTTCACGCTGCTCTTCGGCCTTGCGAGCATCAACACCTTGACCGTTATCAGCGTCACCAGATACATAAAGGGATGCCACCCAAGCAAAGGTCAGATCGAACCCCCGTGAATTCAAGTGAGAGAACATAAAGCAAACGTCAGACCAGCGTTTCTGCCTTCCTCACATTCCAGCAGCTCTTATCTGACAGAAAAAAGTGTGTTTTTCAGTGCTAATGAAACCTTATTACTGACTTCAGCTGTGGAAATAACTACCACTTGTCTCCAGCAATTTCATTTACATTTCACCAACATGTCATTAAGTTAATTTGAGGTGACATTTTCTATTTTGGGTGCAACAGGAATGTCTTAATTATATGGAAATTAGGTTGAGCAACTGTGTCTGTTGTCAGTGTGTGAGAAGAATGTTTACCATGTTTGTGGTTTTTCATAAAACACAAACTATATAAAGCTGTGTAGGTTGTTTTTTTTTTACATTGGCAGTTAAACTATGAACATCGGTGGTACGTGGGGTATCATTAACTGTTGCAACTACTGCAGATGGCAACAGATATTGATTTACATGCAGAAAAAATTGCTGTGTTGGTTTTAGGTCCAAATTAAATTAATTAAGGCCAGTAAAACTTTCAGGTAAACCAATGCAGGTAAGTAGCAATTTAAGGTAAAGCAGCTAGTAACCCATAGCAACAAAGGTATTGTATACTGGCTGTCATCCTTGTACTGCACGTATCATATGTTATATTGACATAAGATATGCAAGCAGTCCTTGGAAATAGAGCAGACTGACTGATTTTTTTTTCTTGCCGTGAACACAAAGCTATGTGTACTTTGTCAATAGAGGTTCTTTTCAGTCACAGAAGTTTGCAAAGGCTGTCAATATAAGAAAAGACCTCATTGTTCAATGAATGTCACAGTCTTGACATTCATAACAAGTCAAGAATGCTGGATCTTTAAGTGCCTCTCACTTTTTCTGTCCCGTGTTTGCCAAAGTCAGAACACTTAACCTTTTTAAAGTGAACACAATCAAACAGCTGTTTCAGGAATATGGGAATATTATATTGTATTCATGTTCCTTGTTGTGTGTTCATGCAGCTTTCTGCATCAGCATAAACACCATCGCTGTGTCACTCATCTGCATTTGGACTGGAGCGATGTTTTGGTCTGCTGCTCCACTGCTGGGCTGGGGCAGCTTCACAGGTCTGTTCTCAAACACTGACCAAATAGAGGACAGAAGTAGAAGACTTAAAGCTTTTGGTCTGACCTCTGTGTCCTCTCTTCCCTAGATCGAGGTTACGGCACCTGTGAGGTGGACTGGTCCAAAGCCAATTACTCCACCATCTACAAGTCCTACATCATCTCCATCCTCATCTTTTGCTTTTTCATCCCTGTGATGATCATGCTCTTCTCCTACGTCTCCATCATCAAGACAGTGAAAAGCACTAATGCCATGTCAGCTGACGGTTTCCTCACCACCCGCCAAAGGAAGGTGGAGAGAGATGTCACAAGGGTAGGCGACTAGGAGAGAAAAAAGTTGATTTCTGAGGTTTTTATTGGAAAGACTTGATTGTAAAAGTAAAATGAGACGTAATGCCACTCCTAACAAGTGTTCCCTCATGTTCCTGTCTAGATTTCCATTGTAATCTGCACTGCTTTCATCATGGCCTGGTCGCCATATGCAGTGGTGTCTATGTGGTCGGCCTGGGGCTTCCATGTGCCAAGCACAACCAGCATCATCACCCGTCTCTTCGCCAAGTCTGCCAGCTTCTACAACCCGCTCATCTACTTCGGCATGAGCTCCAAATTCCGCCAGGACGTCTCTGTGCTGCTGCCGTGCACGAGAGAGCGCAGGGAGGTGGTGCGTCTGCAGCACTTTAAAAACATCAAACCCAAGGCTGAGGCCACGCCCTCACCCGCAGCACTTCCGATGAAGAAGCTGGAGGCGAAATACGCAGTGGGAGAGCTGAACCAATCGAATCCTGACAGTGACTCAGGGGTCAACAGCCCCCCTCAGACTCCTCCATCCAACACACAGGGGGTCTTCCACATCAATGTGCCCTCACACATCGAGACATCAGAGTACTGGTGTGACAGGCTATGAGGACTGTTCCAATACTGGAATTACAAGGGGAGATTGAGAGTATTTTTGTATTTTTTGGTCTTACCCATGTTAATGAATTTTACGTGTGACCTGTGTTAATAAATTATTTTCTGTTTCACACATGTTGAAAAGAGTTTTCATTTCCAACTCTTACAAAGTCTCATACAATCCGAATTAGTAACGGCAACATACTGTATAGTGTGGAGCAGTGCGATGTCTGAATCTTCTCAGAGTGTATCCAGCTGATGAAATGTGCAGTCAGTGATGTAGCGAGACTAGAGATTCACAATAACATCTGGAAATGCTGAAATGTCCTTGACTCAGCTGAGGCTTGTGATGGCACAGATTTCTGCCATTTCCCCTGCCGCCCATGAGAGCGCTCATGCCGTCAGATCTCCCGCATATCCCACATTGCCAGACTGTGCACTCTCAAGCACCATCAGTCTGTAAAAATGAGTCATTTTACATCTTCATCCATCAGGCTGGTCAGTGAAAAGCAGGCAGGAGCAGCAGCAGCGAGGCAGCTATATGTTTTTTTTTTACTGAAAACTGTGAAAACTCTTCCATCAGTTCATGGGTGTGCTAAATCAGGGCAACTTTTCTCTCTCGACAAGCTTTCAGGCTAATGGCACTGTTGAAAGAAAAATGAGCAACCCTGAAATAGCACCTGATCTTTTTTTTTCAAGCAACATCAATAGGCAATTATCTACTTCAGCCATGAAGGTTTAAGCTTTAAAAAAGTTCCTGAGGTGAGTTTTTTTTTTCGCTTTTCTACAAAGACCATAATCGCACACACAATGAGCTCCTTTTACAGCAGCCCTTAAGACCTTTAAATCAAAATGGCAGGCAGCTTCAGCAGAACCATCCACATAGTGGATAATAGCAGCAGCTTGGGTGCCAATCTGCATAAACCAACAGGCTCTCCCTGTAAGAGTAGCAGAGGTGGAAGTAGGATTGTGGTTGTGGTTGTGTGCATGTGTGTGTGCGTGTGTGTGGGTGTGTGTGTGTGTGTGTGTGTGTGTGTGTGCGTGTGTGTGTGTGTGTGTGTGTGTGTGTGTGCGTGTGTGTGTGTGTGTGTGTGTGTGTGTGTGTATTAGGAGAGGCTGGGGGGGGTGCACATGTACTGTAGACCACAGCAGCAGCAGACAAAAGCCACAAACCCCAAAGTGACAGTGGATGTGACTTGCAGTGTCTGTTTCCCAAACAGGTGTTTATTGGTTTATTTGGTGGAGGAGGAGTGATTGCTGTGAAGAGAGCTGACTTGAGAGACTTGGTTGTTTTATTCCTCAGTCAGAGGATGGGATGAGTGAGTTGCAGAGCAGATAAACAGAACCATAGCTTGCTTTTCCTCCCTTACATAACAGAAAAGATGCAGCTTAAAGGACCAATGTGAAGCAAATCTTCCTTTTGGGCATACTAAACAATATGAAAGTGTGTGTTGACTTTTTCTATCCTAAAAAAACACACAAATATGTTTGCACTGCTCTGCTACAGTGTGCCAGCTCCTTGCATCCTCTCCTGATGGCCCCGGGGTACTGATCTTCTTCTGCCTGGGTGAAGAGCTGAGAGTCTGAAGTGGGACGGGCAAAGAGGGGAAACTCTGGCCCCGTCCCGTTCTCCACTTTTAATGAGCGCTCCGATCATGCAGGAGTAAAAGTCCAGGTGGAACAGCTCAGCGCTCGCACACACGCCCGCTGGTCCGTGCTGATTTCAATGAAAGAGTGAGGAGAAACTGCGCAGGGAATTACTTTTTCTAACGCCTGGAGGATTATTTTCCCTTCTCAGGTAAGTTCACCTTCACTGCCTCACGGAGATGATGGTTCTGAGCAGAGAACAACCACGCAGCTCCTCACGTGAACTGGAGGATTTTGTGTTTGCTGCTGCGTGGCGTGAATGAATTATTCACTTTTTAAATTATGCGTAATTGCGCGTAATTGGTGTCCATGGCGTATAAGCGCATTTTAGTTTTAATGGCCAGGGTTGTGGGGAATTTTAATCAACGCCACATTAGGATTTTGCGTTTTTACTTTTAGTTCACTTTTTTCTTTTAAAAATTTATGGCTCTGGTTCATTTCAGCTGAGCTTGTGAGATGTGACAGGTTGCCCAAACAAGCGCACTGTTGCTTATATTCAGTGTTTGTTTAACTTTCTGTTTATTTAACTTTTTTTTTTCCTTTTTAGTAAACAGCGCCTTCCTCTTTCCTTAAGTGAGGGTTTTCTCTGAGTGAATTTGGTCTTGTCATACTCATTCATACTGTAGGGTACTTCTGATTAAAAAAAAAAAAAAAAGATCCGTGGACAGTGAGCCAGCTTTTCCATCAGGTTGCCTAAGCCTTTATTTTGAAATGTCTCATTTTCCCAGTGTACTAAGCAGGAAGCCCTAGAGTTGAATTCCTCCACTTTGGCTTGAATTTCTTGTACATTATGTTTGACATTTTCTGTGTATTCTCCCTGACATTACTGTATGGTTTGAAAGAGCCTAATTAAGCACAGGTGGTGTACATACAATATGTCCAGCAGCAGACTACAGGCTCTGGCTTGCGCTGAAGCCGGTGCCAAGAATTAAAGCAATTCAGCCTGTTCTGTGCTTGATAAACAAATAGTGTCCCAGCAGCAGCAAAAAGGTTATGGGACTGACCTTGTAGAGACATGTTGGCTCTCCTGTGTCTGATCTCTCCAGTGGTTCTTTAGTTGGCTTGTTATAACATTTGGCACATCTACCGTGCTTACAGTATGCCTCTGACACCTGTGAAAGCTGGGATTTAACACTCCCTGGCACAGGGTGTGTGTAAACACTGTCTCGCTTCAGGCACGCCATCTCTCTGGACCACGGCGAAACAAAGCTCACAGCTGGTTATGATACTCAAATAAAGCCTCAGTCCCCTTCAGTTCTTTGCCTCATTGCATTTACAGTGGCCACCCCAGACAAGGAATGTGTGTGTGTGCTGCTGAAATGCAGGGAGCTTGAAATACAGTGTGTGAAGCTGTTCACCATAAGTGATGGAAGCAAAACATTTTAGGGGTAAAAATGTGAAATAATGTTATACTTCAGCGTATTATCAGTGCTTATTTGAGACTGCTCTTAAGAACCTCTCAGACTATGGTGCAGCAGTCACAAGTGTGTGTGGTCTGCCCATGCTTTGAGAACCCACAGTGTTCTGGCCTTTGAAATAGGCACAGGCAGCCACTGTACATCCTGTTTGCATTATAGCCACTCTATACCTGCGACACTCCTTCCAGGTGGGATTCTCATCCTCCATTATCAGATTTCTGGTGCTTATGCATCAGAAACAATTTGCCCGCAGGGGCTGAAAATGTTCATGTCGCTGTAGGCTCCTTTGTGCAAGACAGCTTGGCCTTGTGTAATTGTAGTTAACATTGTTTTGTGTATGTAATCCACGTTGTAGTGAGAATGTTATCCTGAATTGAGTTGTGTTTTAATTCCTAAAACTATGTGACCTGTCTGAGCTGCTGGGGTCTCCACAAAGTGACTGAGGTCCCTGCAAAAAAACCTTTCATCTTTTGCAGTGGCTGTGAAATCACTTGGCTCATTTTTTTATATACGGTTTCTCACAGTTAACTCTCAGCATGTTGTCGGTTTGTTTGATTTGTGACCCCACCCTGCTGTAAATTAGATGTTTGAGATGCTCAGTACGATGGAAAATATAGCAGATATCATCACAGAGGCGAGCCGGAGCTGTGCTATAGGTACAACCCACGCCTTATCTAAAGTTTAACACAGGTGTATGCAAAATATACAACACCTACACAGCAAGTAACCCGCCCCCGTCTGTGATTCATGGGGGTGGTAAGTGGTGAGTCTGAAAGCCCTCACATACCGAGGCATTCTCCAAAGCTATCTGAGCATGTGATAAGTTATCCCAGATCTCTGTTTATTTTTGGTTACTTTGGTTGGATGTTTGGTGTGTGTGTGTGTGTGTGTGTGTGTGTGTGTGTGTGTGTGCTGTTTTCTGCAAGTCCCCTCAGGATCTATTATCTACTGTACAGGAAACTCCCCACAGTGTTTGTCAAAGGATATCATTTGCCCTGCGTTTCATTTCTTGGAGAAAGAGGCATTTAGAGGCTCAAGCTGAGAACACAAATTAAGAGGTCTTAAATTATTGTCATTTTTTTTTTTTTTGCACATTTCAATTTTTCCTACAGTGATGTCATACCTCTCTTAAAGGCCTCAGTGGTCGCTATAAACAAAGACTTCTTTTGCAGTATTTGCCTGCTGAAAGTAGCTCTACACCGGAGAACATGGTGTTAACAGTTAAGGTTTCCTCGCAGGTGAATGACAGATCAGCTTTGTAGTTTGCTTTATCCGGTGAAGCATGCTGACTCACCTCTCCTATGCTGCAGGTCTGTCTCTTCTACTGTAGATGTACATATCTGTCCCGGCTTGTTCCCAACCTCAGCTTTCTTCCCCCGCGAGGACAAATTGTAGTCCTGACTGTGCAGCAGTGATCTACCTGCCTGTCAAAGCACAACACTGTGGAAAAATCATGTCAGTGCTCATGAATGTCAGATAAAAATGTAGAGCTGCAGCGGGGAAAGTCCTATCACCACCAACTGCTGTTGTATTTCTTTTTTTTTTTACCTTAACATGATATGTTGGGTTTGCACTGTGTTTTCATGAAGTTGGAAGTTACAATAGAGAACTGTGCAGGGAAATAAGTGATCCCCCCAAATCCTCTTAAGTTACATCATTAAACCACACACTAATGTTTACCAGCAGAGCTGTGGCACTTTATACCAATACAAAGGAGATGCCGCACAGGATGTTATTGTTCAGGAAACAGTTGGTGATTCACTCTTGATTTTTAAAGAACAGTTTTCACATTTTGGGAAATATCTCTCGTTTTCTTGCAAAAGTTGGATGAGAAGATTGACACCTCTCTCATGACTGAAGCACAGCTCAGGCGGATTGTGTTACCCATGGACAGAGCCAGGCTAGCTGTTGTTGTTTTCTTTTAATATGACTTTTTTTCTTTCCTAAACAGCCTCTCCCTCTTTCATTAATTGAGTGAATTTGGCCGGGTCATAAAAACTCATAATATCCATAATAATATAATAATCAAACTGGCTGGCGGCTGTAGCTTCAATTGGCTTCATATTTACTGCACAGACATGAGAGTGGTACTGGAAGTGAAGAGGTAAATGTCAGTCAGAGATCAGAGGTCACTGTATGATCACATGTTCCCACTTGATCACATTAAACCTGCTGGCGTGTGGCGGCAGTGACAGCGACATGACGCCGCCGTCGTGGGAGGTGCAGCATTCCTCTATTAACAGGGAGGCCTCAGTCATCACCTCCCCGGTAAGGAGCTCCGTCCCTCAGCAGGGACTGGGGTGGCTCACACATGAGTAGTTCATCCTCCAGCCTGTGTAATAAGACTTTTAATTCAGACTGTGCTGTTCTAGTTCTCACCAGCGCTCTCATTACCAGGACAGACCTGCGGCATCTGGAATGACATCTCGCGATCCACTTGCGCTCTTGTTAACACAGGGTTCCACTTTGATTTATATCTTTACATGGGTACAACTTTTGACTCTGAATGACAGGCAAAGAAAGAAATGTTCTGTCTACTGTAAACAGACTGTATTTCAACTCGGATCCAGCTTGATGTGGTTGTTGGTGTCAAACAAAGGGACCATCTGACCCAGTTCCCCATTCCTTACACATTAAATTATGTCTGTGTGTGCTCTCTAATTGAGTCTGACTCCACAGATCCACAGATATTAGTGGGAGGACTTTGACATACAGTTTTGCCTCGGAGTCCAGATGTTCACTGTTGAGCTTTTGGCAAACTCTTTCACCCTTTTGTAACTCAAGTGGAACAAGACACATTGACCCAAACAATCAACACAACAATGTGTGCCGCTGAAAATATTTTCTATGTATTTAATTGGCCACATTCACCAGATGAGTCATGCAGCCCTTTGTGTGGTTCCCTGTTCACTGCCTGCCTGCTGTTTATCCCAAAATCTCTGGAAAGTGTATCCCAGTGGCACAAGTTTACTCTGTCTTGTTTCCAGCTGACTCAACAACACTTGTCACTCTCAGAAATGTTGACAAAAATGTCCAGCGTTACTTTCAGCGAGTAAGCAGGAAGCAGGAAATTGGTTTCATGAGATGAAATTCTGCTCTCTCTCTCTCTCTCTCCCTCTCTCTCTCTCTATCTGAGGTTGTACAAGGACATCTGGCCGACCTGCTGAACCAGCGCACCACCCATCATGATCAGAGCATCAGTCACTGCCATCTGCCTCGGTGAGCAGCCCGTCTGTGTCACTGCAGGAGTACGCTGCTTTTAAATATATGACCCCTGACTACAATGTGTTATATTTCCAAAATACTCTACTACTCTACTACTACTGGGTGCCGTCTCCTTCAGAATCAATTTTCTCTACATTCACACCATCAAACAGCAGCGTAAAAGTCCTGTGTGTACAGTAAACACTCTGATGATTATGTTACTTTGTCTGCTATTATGTGAAACTCCCTCTGCCTCACCCGCAGCGCTCCTCCTGTCCTGTGCTTGCTGGGCCAAGCCTAACGGATCAAAGAACAAGAAACCAAAGCAAGGTAGACAACATCAACATGCAAGCCTGTAATCTCCGACAGTCCCAGTATTATTGTCTCCACCGGCTCTCTCCACTGCAGGCGACTCTCTCTAAAACCACAATGCAAAAGCTTACAAAAAACAAAATATATATATACACTGTTGCCCATGAAGTTGGAATTATTTTGTTTTCAGACACAATCCTCTGTTTATTCCTATTTAAATGCATCAGTAATCACTTTGGAAGAGATTGACTACAAAAGTTTTGAGAAGATATACACTTTATCTGTCAAGAATAAATCACATTGTCACAATCAAAAAATATTTTATTCCAACTTTATGAGCAACAGTGTATATATATATATATATATATATATATATATTTATTTATTTTACAAGATTATAATTGATTGGCAGGCCGAAGAAGTTCATAACAACATGCTGAAACCCCATTAAGGCTTTTAATTATTTCCCAAAGCCCAAAGTGATATAACTGAATTGCTTGTTTTATCCGCCTGACTATTGATATATTTATAACTAGACACATTCGGAGACTGTCCACTGATTGGACCTTGAGCATGTTCAACATTTTTGCTTGGAAAATAACTTAAACAATTATTTGATTATCACCATAGTTGTGGTTGTAGTTTCTTGACCTGTCTTGAACCACATTGCTCTTCCTCCCCCTCCCTCCACAGCTGTTCCAGACATAGAGTGCGATGTCAGAGCGGGAAAGATCAACCTCCCAGAGTTCATAGTCAGATGTCCTGCACACTGTAAAGAGACAAAACAGCAGGTTTACGGGACAGGAGTGTTCGCCTCCATCTCCAGCATCTGCAATGCAGCCATCCACAGGTAAACAGTGGAGAGGTGGACATGAAATAGAGCTTGTGTGAGTCTCTTCAGGGATGTATCTGATGAAAAGTCTTGTGTCCGTAGTGGCGTCATCACCAACACGGGCGGAAAGGTGATCGTGAGGAAGATGGCCGGGCAGAACATCTACAAAGGCAGTAACTCCAACGGGGTGCGCTCTCTGTCTCTGCCGAAGTGGAGGGAGTCGTTTGTCGTCTCAGGTATTAAATGATGACCAGAACAATGTGAAGCACAGTTCTTCAGAAGTAGCCTTCCAACCCAACACATGGCTCTGTTGTGTTTCAGTGGGGAAGCCCAAGAAAGGAGTCATCTACCCATCTACCCTGGACTACGTCCCTTCAAGACCAACCTACGTGAAGACAAGTGAGATGATGGTTGTTCTTACACTCCCACATTTGTCTTTTATGTGAATATGGATTTTGGTGCATCACTTTGTCATGGAGTGGGTCCGCAGATGCCCGGTGTTTCACGATGATAAGACCTTTCTGATTACGGCCCAATACGCACTGATTTGTTGATTCTTGGTTCAAACTGAGCAAAACCTTTGGATGTCTAGGCTGTATAATTGTTATTTTAACAGCATTTCAATCACTATATGTCAACATGTATTTAGGACTTCTATTTCAAACTGAAATATATTCAGTGAAAGGCGATCCAGACCTACACATCTAGACACTACTAGCTTTCTGAGGACAAAAGGTTACTAGATAGACGTCCCTGTGCTTGACTCCTGCATGTTGAACTTCGCTCAGGTTGAATGAGGAGTCGGTGCACTGTAGTCTAGTGAAGAATGTGAAGAATGCATTACGACAGAGCGGTAACTGAAGACGCTCTTCCTCCTCGCCCATTCATCTTCTGTACGTCCGCCTTCACCTGTCGTCTCCTTACAGGTCAAAAGGAGGCCAAATCCCCCGTGGTTACCACGGTGCTGCCAACGACAACTGCACCTGAACCCACCACAACTGCAACAACTGAACCCACCACCACCACCACTTCTGCCACCACACCAGCTCCCACCACCACCACCAACACACCTCCACCACCACCCACCACTGCCAAAGCTCGAGCTGCTCTGCACAAAGTCAGGGATGCAGGTGATTTAAACATCCTTTTCGCATACATACATACATACATACATACATACATGTACGTACAGCTGAGTCTTTCTTCTAAGCCAGTGGATCCATGTATGTTATGTAGAGGATTGTGTGTTTACTTGGATGCTAGCTGCTGTTAATGATCCAGTAAAACCAATCCACACAGAAGATCCACTGCAGCCAGTGTGCCGCCTCGCTGATGTCGAACTAACAACATTGGGATCTCGTAACTTGAATCACTGTTTTTTTTTGTTGCCAGGACAAGCGTTCATTTGTGTGAAAATGAACGCTTGATGAAGAGTGATGAAGATGAATGATTGTGGCCGGTAAATTGTGGCTGGTAATTACAAGTCAGAGCTGCAATTATAACAAATTACAGCCGCTCTGTGATGAAGTGACGGTACGTTAGTGTTGCTCGACTGACTGATTTAACTTGTATGCGTGATCACCAGACCTTTCATCACTCTTATTAAATGAGGACATTATCAGACTGTAATCATCTGTCCCGTTTTGGATGAAATGCAGCTACAGGGAGTAGACAATGCTGCAGTATCTTAAGGTATGTGTGTAAATGAGATGGGCTGTGTGCCGGACAACCGCCCAACCATTCTGTCTCTGTAACATTATCTCTCTCCTCTCCATATTGGCACTCCATTTCTCTTTCTTCTATCTAGGCAGCAGTCACCCGTACCTTGCCTCTGTGGCAGCTGCAAGTAAGTGAAGCGATGCAAACAGGGGTCAACACTGGGGTTTTCTTGGTGGCATGAAGGGGTGCCGTGGTGTTGCTTAACACTCGGGGTGTGCAGGAATATGTGGGGTGTTTTGCTTCACATCGGTCCTTTGGGAATAGTGTGCATCAGGATTCAGCATGTATTCTGTATTAAAGGTATCGCTGGTCCTGTTTTCAAAGCAAGTTTGTCATTATTACCGACACAACTTGTGTATTTTAGTAAGTGAAATCAGTTCAGCTCACTTGTTTTAAGCAAAAAAAAAAAAACTTAAAACAGTAAGGCCGGCTGGGCTATTGGTTTATGCTTAAACCAAAACTTATGTTGAATTTGCTATTTTTTTGTAGCAACTTTACATGTAAACAAAGATTTTTGTCTAAATTTGCCCACATTGTGTTATTGGTATAGGACAGTCACAAAATGGTCAAGGAAAGAGTCCCAGCCAAGGTATGTCAACACTCTCACTGATTCTGCAGCTCTTGGAAAGTCCTTTACACCAAATATAACAATTCACGTTGAACTAAACCATGGCATTTCTTCAAAGTATTCAGAGGAAGTGCCTTTCCGAATAGATTCCCACATCGAACCAGTGCAGGTAAACCAAGCTTTCATCTTCATGTGTCCTTTTCCATTCTAACTTTTGATTGCCAGAAATTGTCTACTGTTCCTTTCTTTTTTTTTTCTTCCCTCTACTCATGTACATAAACTCTGCATGGCATCTCTGTTCTGTTTGTGCGCAGCTGCTTTAAACAACATGTTGCTAGTCTGCTAACACAGGGCCAGACCAGAATGTTCTGGAGAAGCCCAAGTTCTGTTTAGAGTATAACATCACTGAAATACAGGATTCAACTGTGTTCGCTCTGTATTGTCGAGCATTTATTACCTGTAGAGATTCAGTCTGGACCGAAGAGGTGGCCACACTGATAACGCTGCCTGTGTGGTCCTTTAATCTGTCTACACTAACTGTTAGAAGCTTGTTAATCCTAACGTCGTCACTGATCTTATTTGATGCACAGATCTGATTTTATAGTTTTGTCCTATACGTCATATGTTCATCAATACTCAAGTGTGTCGGCTGTCTGCCGTTATAAAACGTACACATTATATCACTGTGCACTGTGTTATGGGCATCACACAATAGATAATATATTCGTTTTTCATATGTCAGTGAAAATAAACTGATGAATGTTATTTCATAATATCTCATAATATCACTGTTTCCCAAACTTTGGTCCCAGGTCTGCGCAGACCAGAGGCAGGGTCGGCTATGAGGAGACAGCTATCCTCTCCAGTAGGCCCAGGTCAGCCTCATCATTAACACACACACGCAAAGAGAGTAACTAACAGGTAGATGAGGTGGGACTGAGAGGGAATGCGGGTCAAGGGCAGAAGGGGGGACAGATTTTTGTTTTTAGTCTTTGTTGGAACAAGAATCCAGGAGACGTAGCCGCTGTAAGTCTGACCCCTCGTGTCCACACCCATAAGCCCCTGTGATCGTCACCCCAGGGTCACCACTAATCCATTTCACATTCCTTTCACGATGATCGCTGTTCTCTGTCATCAGGCACATCCTCTTATTCATGTTTTCATTTTCCGAGATGAAAAGAGGCAAATGAAGCCGAGTTAAGGCCTGCAAATACGCCCAGCATATATCCGTTTGTTTTTGATATCATGCTGCGGAGAAAATGCCTTCAGCTCCTCTCAAAGCAAAACAGCTGGGCTGCATTTGCGGATGGAGCCCCGGACCTGAAGCTCTCTTTTGCCCCCCTTCTCTCTTCTTTTTCCCCTCTATTCCTATCTGCCTGTTTCTCATTGCTACAAACAGCTTTTAACAGGGTTCAGCCGGCCCCGCCCGAGCGGACTCCAACCATGAGCCAGTCCAACCCCGGTAAGTATCTCCAGATCCTGGTGGGAGTCCTCACACTGCACAAGCAGCCACACTCACTGACGTAGAGAAGTAGACGGGTCTGATCAAACAGGGGAACGACTAGGGCAATAAAACCCTGGTTGAAATGTTTTATAAAGCCGCACTAATGTTTACCTTCTGTGGGATGCTTTGGTTCAATGCATAGTCGGCCCTCTATAAACGACAGGCGGAAATACAAGAAGATACTCAACTTTCACTGTAGCCGACATGATAAAATGAGTAGTAAGTATGTCGATATGCCTCAAAGACGAGGGACGATGTGATATTATTATCCAGAATTCATCTTGTGCCACATCTCCATTATGTCTGAGACAGCAAAGGGCTCTCAACTTTCTCTTTTAGATAAGGCCACGATGAGAAAGGCGCTCTGTCAGTACTGTAATAACATCTTATGACAGATCCCATCTGGTCTGGCCTCTTCCCCTCCCTTGTAAATGCTTGCAGAGAATGAGATGAAAGCAGCAGCACCAAGTGGCCCTTGTGTTGCTCCCAGAGAGACGTATGATCCAGTCCACAGTGCTGCAGGATCTGGGTCCTGTCAGGAATAGAAAGCTGTAGCCATTCAAACCAGGCGAGGTTTGGCTCACTGAGGAATGCGCTTCTGTTTTTGCTTCTGTGGAATGCAAAACCATGGATCCCTAAAATAAGACAGAAACATATCCGTTTCAATGATGCTTGATTGTATGATATGATTCCTAAAATACAGTGTGAGCTGTTTAAGCCAGTGCATCATTTATCTGACTGACCAGTTACTGTCGAGACATGTGTCATAGTAATGTCTGATCGGTGCTGAGAACAGCCACTCAGATCTGCAGCTTGTGGATGATAATGTGATTTTTCTTTTATTGATGCCCTCAGGGAAATTCTTTATGCTTGAGGTCACAGGTTACAGGTCAGGATCAGCTACACAGCAGCGCCCCTGGAGCCGGCAGCGATTCAGTGTCTCTCTCAAGGACACTCCAGCAGAGTAGATGCTTGGAAACGTCAGTGTCCTGAACTCTGATTTATGAGATGAGGGGTTTTATCCCCTGTTGCTTTGCCACCCGGCTGCCCCAAACAGATGTTCAAAGTTATTGCTCAGCTTTTTGGAAATGTTACGATCCCGTTTAGCCTCGCATTTGTGATGGGATATGCTTACTTGACAACCACAAAGCCTATGTAAAAAGTGTCCAGATTCGGATCGTTGGGTCTCTGTGTTGGTGTAAGAGTACAAATTTGGTTTTATGTAAACTTCAGAGAGACTGCATACACTCCTGCAGACGTATTGTAGCGTGAGCTCCAACCCAAGGTGAGGATCAGTGTCCCCATTCCCAGTCTGACCTTGTGCCCGCAGTGATCACTGAAGTGGCTATGATTGGGAGAGTTAAACTCAATCCTTTTAAAGCACCTGTTTCATCAGAAAAAAAACAACACTGCTGTCTGCTCTATGGCGCTGCGCCTTTGACCAGCAGCAGATTAGACTAATCTCTGCGTCCTACTATCTACACTGTCCCTGGTTTGACACCAACTTTAGAATAATACTCCCACGCTTGACTGGGCGGCTGGCTGCGCTCTTCCAGCCCGTCCCAGTCAACAAAGGCCCTGCTCACTAGCTGCCACTCGATGGGAACCTCAGAGCACAGGCTGTGTGTTTGTGTAACTACCCATCCACCGCAGGGAGGGGTTAACAGAAGTGTGTTGTCATGGCTCAGTCAGTTTAGACAGATGCAATGCACTGTTATGGTTTTGCTCAGCTGTTTGAGCTTCTACAGTTCAATCACATTTCAATTAACCTCTTGCCGTGCAAGAGTCTGGTCGATTAAACTGCCTGATGGAATTTGACTGCAGCAGGTAGAAATCAGTAAAGTGAGAAACGCATTTACATTTACCCAGAGAGTTGACCTCCTTCCTCTGTCTCTCTACCATTCAGGTAGAAAGAGAAAGGCTTCACTAAAACAACCTTTAGTCGACTGTATGTTTAGTGTCTGACTCAAGGCCGAACATCTTGTGCATACCCCACTAACAACGTGGCAGGTTGAGTGGAGGTCACAAGTATGATTCTCCTTGGTGCTTGTCCTGAACGCAGCTTTCTAATCTTCCCCTGCACAGCTTTTCCCAGAAGGGATTGGGCGCCCCCCTCCTTTCCTCGACCTGATTGGTTCCCTGGAGCTCGACGACCAGCAGGTATCAAAGAATCGCTCATCATTCTTTTAGCAAATCTTAAACGCAAGGTATTTGATTAATGCTCAGATGAACTAAGGTAAATCTGATATGGCTGCAAGATTTGTGATGAAAGGTTTTCTTTTCTAAAAGCTTTCCAGGTGTCACTCAATCTAAGCCTTTAATTTATTAATCCGATGCCAACAATGTGGCCTTATGAATAGAGTTTGCTTTGCCTATGGGGATCAATAAGAGTGAACTGGAGAAGAGCTACTTTGAAAACATTGCATTTCAGCACCCTAAATTTAACCCTTGTAGTTGCTGATGCCTCCACCTTCTCTGCTGTACATCCAGATATTAGTTATGCAGTTCCAGACTCAGGATACACGTGGAGCGAGACAGACACTCCTGAGATCACAGGTAAGTCAAACTCCCTCCAGGACAAGCACATGACAGTTTGGTGTGTACTGCCCCCATTCACTGTGGAAGGTTACTACACCTTGTATCCATTCAAGTTGCATGTGCATGGTTGATACAGTTTGGTATCTGCTGAACATGTACTGTATATGTGTTGAATTGGTGCCATATGTAAGTACATGCACCGTCTCTCAGGACAATGTGTTTACATGGCATCTGCCTGCCATATGAGAAATTGCTGTGAAGTGTGGAAGAAATGAGCGTAATGTAGGTGGCATGTGAGAGAGACTCTGATAATTCTGCACAAAAGCCGTTGTTTTCACTGGTGTGGGATTGGTTGGGAAACACATGTGACCAATCACAACCATGGAAACGTGTGCTTTTCTCTCTCAAGTTCATTGTGGGAATACTAACAGGTTTCAAAACATCCTCCTCTAGCTCCCGATCACAGGCCTGATATGTCAGAGTATGAGCGCTGGTATTATAACTTTGGACCGTACCGTAAGTGTTTTCCTATTCTCTTTACTGGGAACTAACAGGTCCTGGGGTCCAGGCTTTATGTGTCATATGTGTGGATTGTAGATGTAAAACTGTTTTTTTTTTCCAGTGATGCAACACTTCCCAGACATGACCACACCCTTATGTTTTCTGACACAGGACTAGTTTTATTTGTTTTTCCTGTTTCATTTAGTGTTTAAATTAAATTAAAAACACAAATTGTGCCATTTTGACTTTTGATTTGACTTCTTTCCTGTACATTGTCTAATGCTGTTAGATATGGAGAATATGCCCTAACACTAATAAGAAGGAATCTATCTATTCTAGCTAGTTGAGAATTGGGCCATGACGATTAAAGGAATAGTTTGGCAGTATGGTAAATTTGCTTATCTGATTGCCAAGAGTTAAATGAGTTACAGCCAGCACCAAGACTGGAATCAGGGGGAAACAGCTAGCATGGCTCGGTCCAAAGGTCTGCCTATTTTTGGTAAATGGACTTGCACTTATACAGCGCTTTTCTAGTCTTACTGGCCACTCAAATACTTGCCACATTCACCCATTCACTTACATTCATACACTGTTGGAACAGCCATCAGGGGCAATGTGGGTTTCAGTATCTTGCCCAAGGACACTTCGACATGCAGCCTGGAGGAGCCGGGGATCGAACCACAGACCTTCTAATTAGTGGACAACCCGCTCTACTTCCTGAGCCACAGCTGCCCATTACTTATTGTTTTTACACTTTGGTTTCTGTACAGATTAAGAGATACAAAGAGTTTATCAGTGAGCTTTACTCAATGTCTACACAAACAGCAGAGCGGCAGCAGCTTTAGCTAATTGCTCTGTTTATGACTTCACGGGATGTTTCCAGGCACACTACTGGAGTAGAGGTCATGCTTTTGTGTCAGCTCAATCACTGCAGTTACCGGTGTTCAACAGTTGAAATGTAAAAATGTGCTTTGGGTCAGTCCAAAGCGACTGTAACGCAAGTCAATATGGGGCGTCTAGACTGAGTAGAGGTTGCTGGACAAAGCCACAGTAGCGCTTTCCTCCTGGTTTAAGTCTCTATGCTAAGCTAGGCTAATCAGATCCTAGTTCTCGCTCCTTACTCAATACACGGGCTTGAGAGTGCTATCATCTAACTCTCTGCAAAACAGCAAACAACTGTATTTCCCAAAACTATTCATCTAAATAGCCTACTCTGGAAATAAAGGCATTTGATTTATCTTCTCACAGCCTCCACACTGAAAAAATACAAACCACTACAATATGGCCCACTGACAAGACACAAAAGGCCATGCAAAAAAGCAGATTATAGGCCATGGTGCCATGTGTTTGATGACACGACAGAGAATCCAAATCCAAGCAGAAGGACATGGTTTGAAAAACTAAGTGGTTGCACCATTTCACCCCTGCACCACAAAAATACCACCACACACCCACCCAAATGAAACTTGCAGTCAATGGGAGCAGGTTGTAATCCCATGATGGCTTATGTTTACATTTGTTTCACATGTGTCGTGTGTCAGTGTGTGTTGATAGTGTCTTCACTTTTAGCGCCCCGATCCACTGACTCAGATGTCAACCGTAAGACGCCACTGGACACAACCCATACTCGAGGTGAGCAGTGGTTACTATGGCTACTAACACCTGTTTGTATCCAGGAAGGCGTCAGCTTGGACACGCCATACAGCATCTTTAAAGCAATCCTTTTTTTTTTTTAATTCTCTTCAGCTGCCTAGTAGAGTAGAGTAGAGCTTACAAAAAAAGTTGCAGTATTTTCAATTTATGACAAATAAATCAAACTTTTTGCGTAGCTACCATGGTGAGTGTCGGTAGCTACTTGCTGCTTTGTGGTAGGAATGTGCTAATGCTGAGCTTGTATGATATTATCTATGCAGTGGAGCCAGTGGATGCCTGGAAGCCAGAGGCAAACCTTTATGAATCAGGTAAGATAGCTTGCGCTGCAATATGCTACTCTTTCTGGCCCCCAAAACAGACACTTTGCCAGTAACTCTTCATTTCTGACTGTAAGTACAAACCAAACCAAGGCTATCCAAGGAAAAGCATGTGGGTTTCTGCCCAGCCTGTAATTGAAGGGATTTGAAGTTAAAACCAAATGGCATGGTTGCTTGAGGGTAAAATCAGTTCCTGTTCGCCATAATTTTTGCCACAACAAATACTGGCTGACGTTTGGGATCCTTGCAAAGTGGGCAGCCGCAAATTTCTTTCAATTTGCTTCTGCCAACGTCGACCTTTTTTCCTCATTTGTAGTAAGACAGTAGAAAATGTTGCAGGATATATTTCCATGACAATAATGATTAAAGTGCCTTAGATGGTGAAAAGGCAATAACAATTGAACTTTCTGTCCACCATTGCATATAAAAACTGTTGGTGAGAATATTAAAGGACACAAAATGTCCAGTAAAATTTATTCAATTTTTTCTTTACAGTATGAAACCTAAAGACATACATTTCAGCTGATTTCTGCTTTAAAGATTTATGTGTTTCTCACTTTTCAGGCTTCAGTTTGAAGGAGCAAGAACCTATACCCAGATCACCTGAGCCTGTGTCACAGGGAAACACAAGTATGTCCCACATACAAATTTAGAGCTACTATGTGTAGAATTTATATTTCATTATTGCAGCTTTTAAATGATGAATTATTGCAAGATTTTGACAAACCTGGTGGAAGGTGGAGTATTCATTTCAGTGTCCCCACGACAAGATCTCTGGCATGCATTAAAGGTACCCTGTAAATTTTTTTCTGTAAACAAAAACATTAAATTTAGTTTCTTTCTTTCTCACTGAAACACATTGTATGTATCACTGAGGCTTACATATTGTGTTAAATAGATTTCATCCCTCATAAAACATTTGAAAAGACGCTTTTTTTGAATTGCATTAAATTTCATCGTTTACATTTTACATAAGTCAATCAGTGGAGGAGCATGATGCCTCTGGCAGAAATGTATCATGTGTTTGTACAACATAAACAAAATGTGGCCCATTGGCAAGAACTGCTACAAAAACTCTACATGGTACCTTCAATCTTTGCATTTACTTTTTTGCTACCACTGCTGCAGAGTGTCAAAGTTGAAAATGTTCAGATTTCACGTATTAGGTATTCAAGTGATGACAGATGCAATACCAAACACATGACTGAAACTGCAGTAACCTTGTGGTGTGTCGTGTTTCTGCAGATTGTAAGGTGGACCTGGCCTTCCTGATGGACGGGAGCTGGAGCATTGGGAAGCGGCGTTTTAAGATTCAGAAGGACTTCCTGGCTGAAGTGGCTCAGACCATCAACGTGGGCATGGCCGGACCCATGATGGGCATCATCCAATATGGGTAACCTCAATTTTCTTGTTGTGTTATTATGTACCATTTTTAGATATGAAAACATAATGTAATTGCCTCTTGTTTTGTCTGAAGGGATGACCCTGTGACAGAGATCAGTCTGAGGAGTCACTCCAACTCCAGAGAGCTGAAGTCAGCCATAGATAAGATTGTGCAGAAGGGAGGCCTTTCCAATGTGGGTGAGTGACCCGCTGTTAGCTGCCAGCTACTGTAAATGCCTACAAACACAAGTGTGAAAGGGAAAGGGGTGCAATTATCGCATGGTTTACTAACCAGGCACATTTTCACATGCTAGGATAGAATTAAATCTAAATTTGCCGCGAGACACTGCTAGCTAAATTACAGTCCTGCTTCTGTAAGCCATGTTTTTCCTCTGCTCTGACCAAATAGCTCTTGGTTTTACCAGCCCACGGGGGCCAACTTTCAGAGGACAAGTGCTGTTTTTCTGCGTTGGTTAGTGCGTCAGCATGCACCCACTGCCACATGTGTCTTTATGACCTGCTAAATTTTGCATACTGATACAAATATGTGTTATTTGTGTTTTCCTTGAAGCGCTTTCTAATCATACGACAGTGTGAGTGGTTGCAAAATCTTCTATAGTCCCCAACAGAGTCTCTACTGTTCTGCCATTGTTTAGACCACCAACAAAACTATGACGGGCTAAATGATAGGAATGCACTATTTCTGTGACAGTATACAAATAAAACATTGCACTTTACATAGAAACACAGGCTACAATGTCAAGTTTTGTGTTTCATACAGTAGTTTTTTTTTAGAATGACACATTATGTATGTTGGTCAGGAAAAACATCTCAGTCCACTGAATGTATGTAACGATCATACGATCACTAAAAGTATACATTTTTCAAATGCCTTTTTGTTAAATTTGATATTCTGCAGTCCATGTGTATTTTTATTCATATGTTCAGTAACAACTTTGTGAATAACAGACTGGCTCTACTTGCCTCACCTCTCATGTCTGTGTTTCAACCACTGACCTGTTCATGGAGTTTAACCGTCTCCCTGCTGCCCTCTGGTGTCCTGACAGGAAAGGCCCTCTCCTACATCAATAAGCAGTACTTCAGCGATGCCAATGGAAACCGAGGGGGAGCTCCTAACGTGGCTGTGGTGCTGGTGGACGGCTGGCCCACAGACAAGGTGGAGGAGGCGTCTCGGCTCGCTCGGGAGTCTGGCATCAACATATTCTTTGTCACCATCGAGGGCCCTGACGACAATGAGAAACAGAACCTGGTTGAGGCCAACTTTGTTGACAAGGTGGAGTATTATCACAGAGATGTGTGAGTGCTTCATTAAAACATGCCAGTGTGAAACACAGTGTGTCTTTCATCCCACAGGCTGTGTGTCGGACAAACGGCTTCTATTCCCTGCCTGTGACCAGCTGGTTTGCCCTGAGGAAGACCGTGCAGCCCCTGGTGAAGAGAGTGTGCGACACAGACCGCCTGATGTGCAGCAAAACCTGCCTCAACGCCAACGACATCGCCTTTGTCATCGATGGCTCCAGCAGTGTGGGAACCGGCAACTTCCGCACCGTGCTGCAGTTTGTGGCCAACGTCACACGGGAGTTTGAGATCTCTGACACGGACACGCGGGTGGGAGCTGTGCAGTACACCTACGAGCAGAGGCTGGAGTTTGCCTTCGGCCAGTACAACAACAAGGCCGAGCTGCTGAACGCCATCAAACGCATCAACTACTGGAGCGGCGGGACCAGCACTGGTGCTGCCATCACCTACGCCGCAGAGCAGCTCTTCAGCAAATCCAAACCCAACAAACGCAAGATCATGATTGTCATTACAGACGGCCGCTCCTATGATGACGTCAGGGCACCTGCTCTGGCTGTCCACAGCCAAGGTAAGAGGTCAACCACAACACAATCTGAAAAACAAGGGGATTTTAGGCAGATATGGTCAAGTCAAGCACTGACTCTGTCCTACATCTAAAAATCATTTTCAAACCTCACTGAACAAAGTAAAATAATCCATGATAATAATCTAAAAACTTGTTTTTTAGCCCCTTAACACTTTGAAGTTACGTCTTGATTTTGTCAGTCCACAGTGAGGTGTCATGCAGTGTTTGTTTGATGTGACAAACACATGTGAAGCCTGTGTGTGTGTGTGTGTGTGTAATCTGCTGTCCCTCCCTGTGATCCAGGTGTGATCGCCTACTCCATTGGCATTGCCTGGGCAGCCCAGGACGAGCTGGAGTACATCGCCACAGACCCCGACAAGGAGCACTCCTTCTTTGTGGACGAGTTTGACAACCTCTACAAATTTGTACCCAAGATCATCCACAACATCTGCCAGGAGTTCAATTCCCAGCCCAGAAACTGAGGACGGACGTGTGGAGGGGGAGGTGTAAAGAGGGACATCTTGATCGAGGGCCGTCTCAACAGAGCGCTGATTGTAAATTTACTCACTCTGTTGAAACAGATGGTGGTGCTGGATTGGCTGCAGCCCCCCCGTATTTGAGCAGGGAGGGGTTCTGAATTTACATGAGGATTGTGGGTTTGGACAAATCAAATCTTTAAGTCAATCAGCATCTGGTCCCAAATATACAAATGGTGCTAGTAGTAAAGGGTTTGCATAACACAGTGACATACTGACATCTCATGTGGCGCCAGTTGTTCTCTGTTGGTGCCATAAAGAGAACAGAGTATTCCTAGTCATTTAAAATGATGGTACCACTTTCTATTAAGTCACCTTTTATAATGCAAGTTGTAAATAAGAGTTTTAAAAATAATTTACTATTGCTTTGAAGATCAGTTTTAAGTCATTTATATAAAGGTCATTTATATGGTGTTAATCCTCATTTTGAATTTCTTTTTTATCATGCAAATGTCCAATGGACTGTTTGACCTCTGACCTTCTGGAAAGGAACTGCAGAACATCTGGACCAAAATTAATCTGTTAACAACTTGTCAGTGTTCACTAACTACATATTTGATTGATTGAATTTGTATCTAGAAGCTGGTAAAAGCAAGAGACATGCTGGAGGAGCCAAAGGGAAATTTCTCACAACTTGGCAACTCAAAACTTAGTTAAAGTAAATGATTTATTTGCATTAATAAATCCCTTATGTGCAACTTATAGAGACTTCATAAAGGGTGCCTTACTAGGACGTGGGACCAGACTGATTAACAAATATAAAGCTGCCTTACTGGGATATGGTGCTTGCAGAGAGATGTAGATTTAAAGCATGCCTAGCACTTCCTCTTTTGGAATACTTCCAAACTTAACATACTTCATAAACTTAATAATACGGTGCTTTATATACAATTCTCTGTCAAGAGGATATACTTTCTTAGAAACAGTGCATTTTGATCTTCCTAATAGGAGAGATTTGTTAGTAGGGACATTGTTAAAGTTCCTCTCTATGACAATGGAGCTGTATGTTAGTGGAAGGTAAAAACGAAGCTCAAGTCAGCAACAAGGAAGTGGACTTGTGTGAGAAGTGAGGAAAGAGGAGCTTGGATATCTTTGTACAGAGTGATGGCAGATGTTAAACTTGCTTCTCAGCAATGAAAGCAATTCATCTTGTCGCTCTGGTTTTCTAATTGAGTGGTTGCTTCTAACATTGCAGGCATTTCTGTTTTGTTTAAAGAGTATTTATGATTTTCTCTGTTATGTCCTGTTTGTACATATGCATATTAAAAGCCTTTCGCTAATAATGTTCAGATAATTGATCAATATTTTTTTTTTTTGCAATTTTTAATAAAATAAAGAAAATGAAGAGAACTTAAAGTGTCTGTTTTCTCCTGAATATTTTGTTCATCCAGTTGCTACAATTTGCGTCAAAATCAGTTCAATCTGAACAAAGAGACATGATGCACATCTTTTAGATTCAGAGTGACAGAGGATTTCATTATATTATGTCCATTGCGAATAGTTGTCCATAGTGTCAAAGGTTATCTTCAGTGTCAAAGTAATGCAATGCAATGCCTGTTTATCTTTGGGTACAGTGCAAACAGGAGCTGCTAATAGCTAATTCAGCATACCTTTAATACAAGCGTGCTAAAATGTAAACAAATAAAGGCTAAACTAGAATTACCACGTCACAGTTGTACGCCTCTAACAGCCGGCCACGACTCAGGAAATGTGGCCACAATTTCTCCGCTCTGAGTTAGTGTTGAATAATGACCAGAAGTGTTTTTGCAGAACATTACGATGTCACAGGGACATTGACCCTTTGACCTTTGACCACCAAATTCTAATCAGTTCATCCTTGAGGCGTTACTGAGATATCACACACAAGAATGAGATGGGCGTATGGACGTACAACCCGAAAAAATAATGCCTCCGGCCCTGACTGCCGGCGGTGCGGAAGCGTTAAAATATGGGTGTCAGGTTATAGCCCACAGCGTAACTCACTGAATCCATGATTGATGATCACGTTTGTTTTCTGCAAAGTTGCAAACAGCTGCCACAATTGTCAAATGACCAACCTCAGAGCCCAGGTAATATTTTACAGCAGGTTTTATTTTGAACATACTTTCATATACAAACCAGTGACTGAGAAAATGGCTCATTTGAAGCTGTACTCTACATGTACAATATCTTGATTGATTTGTTTTTTTCACCCAGGATCGTTTCCTCCTCACACAGTTTACAATAAACTGGAATCTGCAGGACATTTCTCTTCCCTCCGTGTTGGATGCTTAACTCATTGTTTCAAACAGTCTTACAGTACTGCACTAATTTCCTGCTAAACACTGGACTACTGTAAATATCTGGACATGATACATCACACTGTAGTCAAGCATGTCCACACAATTGGGGAAAACTACATACAGTACAAGCCATTCAATTCAAACAAGAGCAAACTGGCCAAAATCAATTAGTTATTCCTAAAATGGACATCTAGAACCAAGTCTGAATTGTAATTATATAACCAAGATGGTTTACTTTGGACACATATGTTTGTAATCTTACTTCTGAAGTGTACAATTACTTGAATCTAACAAACAGGCATTATAGTTAATGGTCTGTATCTACCAGCTTTGCCTTGATATGCACAAAATTGATTCCCCAACCACACTTATGAAAAAGGAGCACTCAAACTCACGCTGCACAGTAATTTTTTAAGACTGAATATATATTTTGTTTATTATAAGCATTTGTAATTTTACATCCAATGTTAAAATTGACAACATTGTGACAACCAGCTCCATTTCTCCGCTGTCCCCTCCCTCCCTGTTCCCCAAAACAAGCTTGTTAAAATAACAATTTCAAGACCTTTTAAAGCAAAGGCACATTTGTCAATACGTGTTTTAAAAAGGAAAATAAAGGCAGGCCAGCAAGCAGAGTCAGTCTGGGAAGCAGAGAAGAAGAAGTGAGAGGCTTCCACGACAGCTCCAGGAAGCCTTCAGTACCCCACGTTTCTGGAACAACACAACACAAAACCTGACTTGGAGTTAAGGGCCCGCACCTTGGTTTGTCTGAGAGGGAAGGTCGAGGGCCCGAGGGATTTGGGGTGAGCGTGAAGTCACAGGGGCAGAAGACCGGCTTGAAACCTCATTTCTCCACTCCACACTCTTTAACACTTGTCCTGAGCCTCCTAGCTATGGAGGTTAAGTTTTAGTCTGTCTGCAGGGAGCGCTGTAGCCAGTCACACCCAGGCCTGCCTGGATGGTAGATGGGGGACTAGAGAACAGTTCTCCTCCTGACTGGCCTCCCTGCCGACCCTTTCTATGGAGAGTCATGTCCTGTTTGAGGCTAGCGGCTACATAGTCTGCCAGTCCGACAGGAAACCAGTGGGCTGTGTGAGGTGGGACTGGACCCATGCCTGAAGGCCCTTCCCCTGCTGTGTCTCTATTGGTCCCTGATCATGGGAGGCTGAGTCAGAGAGCGGGGCTGCAGGGAGAGACGCAGCTCCGCGTCATACAAACACCTTGGCGAGAGCGTCTGCGCCGGCGCTAGCGATGTAGCATTTAGACGGATGAAACGCAACATCATGGATCGACTCCTCAAACTTCTTTCTGTGAGCTGTGAACTCCTGGATGCAGGTTTTACTCTCCAGGTTCCACAGGCGGATAGAGCAGTCATGACCTGTGGAGGAGATGGGCAGTTATAAGTGGCACAAGGAGAACTGCAATTCATGGAACATGGAAGAAAGAGATAGTTCGTAGTATTCAGAAGAACAATGCCCAAGTGGATATAAAAACCAGCATGGAAGATTAAGATGGGGACATCTATCAATGAACTGCTGTTAAGCTGGTTAAAAGAGATACTTACTGCCCGACATGAGATAAAGACCATTGGGATCTACAGCTAAGCTGGTGACAGCATCCAGGTGAGCCACCATGGAGTGAATGAGCTTCCCGCTGTTGTTGTCAAAGAACTTGATGTGTCTGTCCTCCTGAGCTGTGATGGTGATGGGAAGAGTCGGGTGGCTGAGGACCTTATTGATCTGACAGGGAGTGCCTGGTGAAAAACAGACAAGCACATAAGCCTTCACATAACGGGTAGTGACTATCACCAAATATCTCATCTGTGGAAATATTATATTCCATGTGTGGATGTCAGGCATGATAGCTTTGTGGCAACCCCTGATGATGAGTATGTTCTGGTAAACAAGTTACTAACAATGGACAGATAAGCTAAACATTGTTATGACACGCAGCATTAGGTCTTAAAACTTGAGAACTGCATCAGTGACCTGACCTGGAATTTGTGAATCGAATCTCCAAACAAATGGAAAATGGAAACTTTGGTTAAGAGAATGTGTCAGCTAATGATTAATTTTCTTTACCACAGCTGCCGCTACATTTTACTCAAGTCTTCTGACAGCACCTAACTAACTCTACCTCAGCGTTATGACTGAATTCAACAAGTGTTGAACGTGTTTTACGATTGTTAGTCTGGAAATCAAAGGAGAATTCCGCTGATCAGATGTCTGACGGCTGCTTCCGGGTGTTTTTCAGTTCTTTCAGTTTTTCAGTTCAAGCAGCACTGCATTTCACCAAAAAGCATTAGGTTTAACCCAGTTTAGCCACTGTTAGTGATCCACTGATCAACCTACCTGGCTCTAAATTGGACTCCAGACTGAGGACCAGCTGGCGGGTCTCCATGTTGAAGAGGCCGATCTGCCCGTTTGTGAAGGATGTGACCAGGTGGGCTGGTTCACTGCACACCAGGTCTACAGAGGAGGGAACTCCTAGTTCTATTGCAGAGAAAAAACAGAGAAATTTATAATCCACGAATCATTTACCATTTTGAAAAATGAAAAATCAGGACACATGACTCAAGTCAGTACTTTTGTTTTCGTTGAATACTGCGAGGGCGGGGGAGGTGGTGTTGGCGTCCCACAGTCTCACAGTCCCGTCTGCAGAGCAGGAGAGGAGGCGCTGGTGGGCGCTGCTGTACACCAAACCCCAAACGGAGTCAGTGTGTCCACTCAGCGCTCCACGCAGCACTGATGGGTCTGTCACAGAAAACACAAGACGACTCAAGTCAGTCGGCTCGATTTGAAAATCCCCAGATGTAGACAAAACACATGACGTTAAACTGTTACCGTAGGAGTCGTAGGGGTCGATGTTGGGATTGGGGGTGTTCCAGCACTGAATAGTTCCGTCAACCCCTCCACTGAAACACTGCTCCCCTGTACTGCTCATCACCACGCTCAGTACAGCCCCCCTGTGGTTTAAATAATGAATTATCAAAATATCTCGTCTATTAAACCAAAAGTAAAACAGAAAAAACTAAATATAAAAATATATGTGCAATGTTTTTACCTGTGGGCCCTGAAAGTGTAGATGGGCTCCACATCTAATGATGTACTCCTGTGGGCAAAGAGCATGTTCATTAATCTAACATACAAAACCAAAAAGCAGAACCTAATTCTTGTGTTTCAAAGTAATTAAACTGAATAAAGCTATAAATGGATGGACAATTTGTTGACCACTGTTCCATTAATTGCCAATTTATTCACAATACCCTTGACTTGACTCCAGGCTCTAAAAATAAACCCATCACTACAGACGGTGTGCAGGCTGCAGAGTTGTGACGTGACATAATGAGTCTTGTGAAGCAGTTTTCTCAGTTCTTTGTAACATGGGGACAGTTTCCTGTAGCTGAATCGTGTGACAGCGCAGAAACAAAATGAGCTATAATACTTACGGGTGTAATCAAACGACAGAGATTTTCTTTCCAATGATGCTCACTCTACACTACACACACTACACACACTACCCTGCTGTCTGTTAGTGTCTCTAA